TAATAATAACAGTGTTTGCTTCAGAGTGTTGTCTGGAGGGTGGAATGAGTTAGCATACGGAAAGCCCCGGAAATGCAGCTGGCACATGACGAAAGTTGCATAAGCTTTCAGTGAAGCCAGACCAGAGAGGACCCTGAGGTTGCCAAAGTTGTGCATCCTTTCTAGCCACTGGACTTGCATTGGTCAGTCAGTCAGTTCAGTCACTCAGTCATGTCCAGCTCTTTGCCACCCCATGGACTGCAGCCTGCCAGGCTTCCCTGTCCATCACCAACTCCTGGAGTTTACTCAAACTCATGTCCATTGAGTCAGAGATGCTATCCAACCAGCTCATCTTCTGTTGTCCCCTTCTCTTCCCACCTTCAATCTTTCCCAGCATCAGGGTCTTTTTCAAATGAGTCGGTTCTTTGCATCAGGTGGCCAAAGTATTGGAGCTTCAGCTTCAGCATCAGTCCTTCCAATGAATATTCAGGACTGATTTCCTTTAGGATTAGTGATCGCTTTGGATTTCTCCAGCTTCTATGCTTGCCCATGCTGGTGATTCTGTGATGTGTGTGTATGCATGTGTGTGTGCATGCGTGCATGTGCATGCGTGGGCAGGGGATGTAAACGCAGGTGTCTTTCCAGGCCACTCCCTGACACACGCACACACATTCCCTCCCTCATTTCTCTGTTGCTGGTTTGCTCCCAGCCATCTCACCCTTCAGAGCCCCTGACTTCCTTCCTACCCCCTGCTCCAAGCCCACACCTCACCCCCAGCCTCCTCCCTCGCCTCTCCCCAGAGCCCATGGCCCTCCCACTAACCATAAATCTGTAACTCTGGAGCGTGTGTGTGTGTTGGGGTGGTAGAGGGGGTGTTGTGGTGGAAAGGCAGCAAACCAAACCAACCCCAGCTAATGAAAACGGCAATAAATCTCCGTCCATCAGGTTTGTTGTGAGCACAAACATTGCCAAACAAGGGCCCAGATGGCCTGCAGGCCCTCCTACCCATGGTCTGTAGAGCTTTAAATGGAAATGGTTGCTTTATACATCTATTTACTACTTGGAAATGGGGGTGGGGAAATGACAGTATCCAGGGGTGCTGGGCCACAAAACAGGATGGGGCCAGGTGGGAACCCTTTAGGTCCCACCCCTAAGTAGGCTTCCTCTGGCCAGTCCTTAACCTCCTCTGCCCTGCTCCTGGAGAGAACCTGGGGTGAGCCCTGTCTGACATGGGCCAACTGGGGGAGGAGAGGGAAGGAAGAGGCTGCCTCCACAGCCTGGACTCAATCTGTTCCAATCCCCAGATACACATCCTGGGGCAGCCAGACCCAGCTCCTCTCTCTTTCCAACGTTCATCATCCCTTGCCCAGAACTTTCCTTCCTTTCCATCTGGTCAGTTTGAAGCCTACCCTATCTTTCAAGCTCAAGCCAAGCCCCACCTCCTCCAGGAAGTCTCCCCTCCCCCAGTCCTCCTGGACCTGTCCTGGCTCATTTCTACAGCCTGGCCCACTGGGAGCCCAACTTAGTCATTACTGGAGGTGGATAGGTCTGGGTGCACAGCTGGGCTTTACGTCTGAGTAGAGGGACCTGGAGCAGGTTAAGATGTCAGCCTCAGTTTCTTACTCTGTAAAATAGGTATAATCACGGCACAGTCAGGCTTCCCAGGTGGCTTGGTGGGTAACTAACCCATCTGCAATGTAGTAGACATGGAAGACGTGGGTTCAATCCCTGGGTTGGGAAGATCGCCTGGAGGAGGGCATGGCAACCCACTCCAGTATTCTTGCCTGGAGAATCCCATGGACAGAGGAGCCTGGTGGGCTACAGTCTGTAGGGTTGCAAAGAGTTGGACACGACTGAAGTGACTGAGCACGCACGTGTGCGTGCACGGCACAGCTGTGAGGAGTAAGTGGAAGGAGCACAGTGTGTGCTTATAGAGTGAGGGGCACAGTCCCAGAGCTCCGTATCGCCTTTTATCACTGGTGCCACCCACCCTGGGCAGCCTTTCCCCGTGCCGTTTTTTCACAGAGACATGCATGTGAACATGTGCATGTATGCGTGTATGTGTTTGTCCTAGTTTGGGTCTCCTGAAAACAGACTCTGAGACAAAAACTTGAGTGCAGGTGGTTTGTTTGGAAGGTGGTCCCTGGAAGCTGGAGTGGAAGGGGCCGGAGGAGAGGTGAGACAGGCTGGGGAGGGAGAAGAGCCGATGAAGGGTGGGGTGGTCAAAGAGCAGTAAGGCTGTGAGCAGTGAGGACACAGCACAGAACCGTTCCTCGGAGAGTGTGGCAGCCGGGGTATTTATCCACCCACTCCTGCCCCTCATTAGTTGAAAGTTGTCCCTGACGCTTCCTGACTACCCTGTGGTTCGAGTAAACCTCCCACGGGGCCTCCAAGGGGGAAACTACAGGGGAGAAGCAGAAAGCTTACTTGGGGTGGGCAATCCCAGGCTCGCTGTCCCCTTGCTATCATCACTGCAGATGAACTAAGAGGCAGGCCTAGCAGATAGAGAGTGAGGCACCAATGGCATCCTCTGCTGAATTCTTCACTCTTCTAACCCTATAGCCCCCAGCACAGATTTCTGTACAGAGTAGGCACATCATAGGCTTACAAGAGATGTAAGAACCGTAGGTTCGATCCCTGGGTTGGGAAGATCCCCTGGAGGAGGGGCATGGCAACCCACTCCAGTATTCTTGCCTGGAGAATTCCAAGGACAGAGGAGCATGAGGGCTATGGTCCATGGGGTCGCAGAGTCAGACATGACTGAAACGACTTAGTATGCAGGTACACCATAATTATTTAAGGACCAAAAAGGATGTTTGGGCTAAGGGATGGGAAAACCTGGACTCTCCTTACTGTTCGGTTTATTATTATTGTTGTTATTTATGTATTTATTTTGTGGTCTCGTTCCCCATAATTCTTTTTTTTTTAATTATTTTTTTAAATGCACCATTCAGTTTTTTACTCAGTGTGCAATGCTGAGCAAGACACATGGCTTCTCTGGGCCCCATCTACTCCTTCTGTAACATCAGGACACTGCCACCTTCTCCATCTATCCCATAGTCCTGCTGGGATGACATGGAATGGTCTTTGGAGGCTGCTCAGAACAGCGAAGGTATGACTTATGATGCTTACGATGATGCTGATGTCAGGGATGGAGCTGGGGAGAGGTTCCCCAAGTCAAGTCAGAGGCACCCAGTGGCATGTAATTCATACACGCTCTATGGTCAAAACACACAAGCGTATTCCCCTACCCCTAATGGGGTGCCTCCTGCCTCTTCCTATCCCATGACAACTCCAAATGTAAAGGACCAAGAAAGAAAAGGCCAGAAGGCTTTTAATTCCTGATCCTTTGTGGGAAAACCCCCAAAGGGAGCCAAGGGGGTCCAAAGGGATGCTCTGTGGTTCCTTATTTCTAGGTCACCAGGTGGGTTTACCAATGGTTGGTGAATGTAGAAACCATTTAGGATAGAAATACTTCGCTTGAGAGTCTTGAAATCCCTAAGATGCCCATGGATAAGCTTTAGGAGTTAATAAGTCACCTGAAAATAGTTGTAAAATTAAGTGTGTGAATATACATGTGCATATGAACTGCTCTGTGTTGGTGATCTGGAACTTTCAATAAATTCTCAAAGGAGTCCATGACCCAACAAAAGTAGACTTGCTCTATCCGCAATCCCCCATGTCCAAGGTGGAGGATGCTGAGGCCAAGAGAGGGGATATGAGCTGCCGGGTGACACATATGGAGCCAGATGAAGCCTAAGGTCCCTAACCCTGTGGGGCTGTGTGGATGGGTTAGGTCTGCACAACCAGAAATGTGGGTGTGCCCCCCCAGAAGGCTGTGCAACAGCCCACAGTGCAGCACAGTCTCTCCTTGCATCCCAAAGTCAGGATGTCATCACTGTTCCCCGAGCAGGAGGGTGGGTGCCCAGATCTGTTTCCATGGAAACCAAAAATGGAAAGAAAAGGAACTCCCTATTACCAAGAAGCCTGGGCACACGGGCGGGCCTCAGCTTCCAGTTCCACCTCCTATGAATGAGTGTGACCTTGGACAAATCACTTAACTTCGTTGGGGTCAAATTGTCCAACTGCAAAGTGGGGACACACACTTACCTGATGAAGACATTATGAGGATGTGATGAGTCAGTGTCAATGAAAATACCAGTAACGGTGAGCAGCACTTAGTAAGTGCTCAATAAACATTAGCTATTTTGTTCCTGCTCTGTGATAGTTGGCAACTTTGCAGTTTCTTTGTTCACTACAAAGTCTCTGACTCTGTCTCCCTTGCATCTTCTCCACGCAGTTGTAAATTCTGCAGCTTAATCAACTGTCTTGTTTACAGTTGTATCTCCCCAAGCCTGGCACACAGCATGCAACAGGTATTTGTTAAACGAATGAATGGAAGTACCAGAGCACATTTTTAAGGATGGGAAGGAGCTCTGACAACGTGAGAACACTCATCAGTCTGGATCGGCCCCAAGATCAGCCCCAGAGCTGTGCCAAGAGTCGTATTAAGGATCAAGAGAGTTGGCTTCCGGTCCCAGTTCTGCCACTTAATTGCTGAGCCACCTCAGCCAAGTTGCCAGACCTCTCTGGGCCTCTGTGCTTCCTCCAAAGCGTGGGAGCCCTGAGATTCCCCGGCTTCCCCCTTCGAGGCTGGCCTCCGACCAGCTGAGGAGTGTGGGAATGTGGGATCTGGGGATAATTCAGCCACTTTATTAATGACAATGAAAGAGAAGTGGGAGAGGATGTTAGGGCGGGGGGGGGCGGGCGGGGGGGAGGTAGCAGAGTAGCAATCTTAGAAGAAAAATCAACAAAAGGCTGAGCAGCTGAGGGTGGGGGTAGGTTTGGGGACAACCACTCTGGTCCTAAGCGCCAGGGGTTGCGCGCCCCGGGAGCGTGTCTCCTTCACGGCGTGTGCCCCCAGGGCTCGGCCTGCCCCTCCCTTCCTTGTGCGCCTCGCCAGTTCCCGCCGCCACTGACTTTCTGACTTCTTAACTTGTCAGCAAATCCCAGAGTTAAAAATGCACACGCACGCCGGCCAGCCGCCAGCAGGGCCGTCTGGCCGCGGCTCCAGATGTGGGGCCACCGCGCAGGCCGCCCGCCCCGCCGCGCAGACTAAACAATCAGCCTTGGCCGTGAGCGCAGCGCAATTCCAGATGCCGCGTCCCTCGCGCCGCGCGCTAATTGGGCCGCGGGCGCGAGGCTCTGTCAGCGCCGGCCAGGCCCTGCCGGGGGCGGCCTTGGCCCCGGGCCGGTCCGCTTAACAACTTACGGCGGCGGCGGGGTGGGGGGTAGAGGGGGGAGGAAGGAGGGAGAAAGACACGGACTCAGAGACAGATAGACAGACAGACACACCAAGAGAGGCAGACAGCAAGGGACAGAGGCATTCTAGCTAGACAATGAGAGAGCTAGGTTCAGATTTAGGAAACAGAAGAAAGGCAGAGACACACACGCAGGGCTGGAGAGACAGAAAAACAGAGGCAGGGCAGACCAACTCCAGTGAAATCAAGAGAGGCAGAAACACGGGGAAGGCCCAGAGGGACCTACACATTTGCCGCGAGTCTACGCACGGGTGTCCACCCTCCTGTTTTAATGAACCTCCTTCTCACATTCTCACTTTTTATAATTCTTCCTAGACCCCGGCGAAGCTGGGGACTGGGCCCGCCGCCTGGCCACCTAGCCCTAGCGGTGAGGAGCCTGGGGGACTGCGCGGAGGAAGAGTCCTCGCCCCAAAGGAACCTGAGTCGTCGAGGGGTCACCCCCAGTCCCGGCTGGGAGATTTAGACGTTGCGGGCGGGAGCAGGAGGGGGCTCAGTGGGAGTTTGCCTGGAGGCTGGGGGATGCCCGGAATGACTCCAGCAGCGTCCCTCCAGTAACCAGGCAGGCACTTCGGCGGCGGCGGCGGCACCCTCCTTCCCCTGGCGCCCTGGGGCCTCCGGGGGGGTTGAGGGGGCAGAGACGGGGGATGGCAGGTTAAGCCGAGGCCCAGGGCAGGGAAGCCCACTGGGGACCACCCGGGGGAGCCCCCCCAGCCTCTTGTTCCGCCCCCGCCGGGAGGCCCGGGCGCCCCGGGGGTGAGCGCGGAGGGCAGTGCGGCGGCCCGGCGGCTCTTGGCGGCCCCTCTCTGACAATCTTTCCTTTGTTTGTTTTCTTAAATCTGGGAGGCCCGAATTCCTGCCGGATTCCGTAGGTTTCTCTCAGGAAGGAGGCGCCCCCACCCCCACCTCCTCTCACGTCGGGCCCGGCTGCTGGGGGAAAGGCAGGTTCTTCCCGGAGGCCCGCGGCGCGCAGCCCCGCGGCCCCGGGCACAGCGAGCGGGCGCCGGGCGCGGCGGAGAGTCCCGGGCGCCCTGCCCGCGCGCGCCACCACGCAGCCCCGCCGCAGGGCCACCGGCGGCCTCCGCCGAGAACATTTAAAAAAAAAAAAAATCAAACCAGGAGAGTTGAAAAAGATACAAAGAGCAGCTCTCCCCTGTGCACCCCAGCCCCATTCCACACCCCTCTATCTCTCACACTCCCCTCTTTTTTTTTTTCTTTCTTATTTTGGTCTCCAAACTTGAGCCTCATTAATTTCCAAAAAAAATTTCCCCCAATAAAAGGCAAACATGGAAAGAAAAACAAACTATTAGAAAATAGAGGAGGGAGGAAATGTTATTTAAAAGGTTAGCAGACCGCATCATTTTCCAATGATATTATATACTCCCAGTAGTATCCAAAATATATATGGGCCCAGGGCCAAGAATGTAAAAAAAAAAAAAAAAGAAAAAAGAAAAAAATTAGAAAAAACCCTCCCTTAGACACAACATCTGGAGCTGGGAGCGAACAAACCCCCCATTTATCACACTTAATCCTCCAATGAAGCAATCGACAGTTGACTTCTGTTTTGCTAATTTAGCTGCTTTCAAGCGCCGGCCCTGTCCAGACCAGGAATTAAGTGTCACTTGTGGAGGGCCTGCCCAACCCCCGCCGGTCTTTGCTCCCGCCCGCGCCCGCCTGCCCTCGGATAGGGAAGAAAGACCATTAAAGAAGAAAGAAACTTTTTATGAATTCCCTTTATGACCGCCCACTCGGGTCAGTGAAAACCTCCACTCTGACCTTCTTCTGCCCCCTGGCCCAGCACCCCGACACCCACTTCCTTGGTGATACACCCCCACCAACCAGCTAGCCGCCTCCCCCTTCAGACTGGCATATCAGTGCCAGCAGCTGGCACCAACGCCAGCAGGCTCCAGGCGGTCACCCCCGTTTGCTCACCGGTTGCTCCTCGGGTTGGCTGGGTGCTGCCAGCCTCCTTCCTGGCATCTCGATCCTCAGGCCAGGATAGCACAGCAGAGGGAGGCCCCTGGTGCTTGGGTGGCAGGGGCCTCTAGGGGAGGCTGGAGGCTCTGAGGTGGAGGCCCAGGGCCAGCAGCATTTGGAGACTATAGGATTTGGGGAGAGAAGCGGGAGGGAGAATGAATCAGGGAGAGTGTATCATTTGAGGATTAGTCAATAAATCCCTGGGACCCTGGCCCAGTGGGGCTGGTGCCAGGGAGCCTGGCTGGCCGGGAGTGCAGACTTCCCTCCTCAGGAACCTTTTTTACCGACCGCTCACCCCAAAGGCCTCAATGGGTCTCTCCTCATCCCTCTCTGTCCATCTCTTAGTTTCTAAGCCTCCTCTCCTAGACTTCGGAGCCCAGGGCACAGCCATTTGCTCTTCCCTTCCCCTGTTGCTGGGGAGGAGCTGTGCAAGGGAGCAGTGAAGGTTACAGGCTTAGGGGACTGTCCTCAGGGATCTGCAAACAGCAGAGGCTGGAGCATGTCCCCCAGTGCAGCCTGCCCACTGTTCTTCACTCAGCCCAACCTGGCCCCCAGCTCCTGTGTCCTGGGAGCCCCCAGGAACAGCCTGCACTCCTGAAAGAGGCCCCCAGAACCCTGAATTCCAGTCTTCCGCAGGGCCTTGGACTTCCTGGGGAGACACCCTTAGTTCTGGCCCTTATCTGGATGTAATCCCACCTCCTGGCCCTGCCCTCCAGGGCCCACAAAAGCATCCTGCATATGGACTCTATAGTTCTAGTAGATATCTATGAACACCTACTGTAGGCCAGGCAATGTACTAGTATCAGGGTATGGAGATGCAGGATGATCCTTGCCCCTGGGGCCCTCTACTGGGCCCTGTTTTCTGTTCTGAAGAGGATATTACCCAACTGTCTTCATTCAAAAAGCAGTCATTGAGCACATGACCCCTGCTAAGCCCTGGAGATCTGGAGATGCATGCGTGCTTAGCTGCTCAGTTGTGTCCGATTCTTTGCAACCCATAAGTTGTAGCCCGCCAGGCTCCTCTGTCCATGGGATTCTCCAGGCAAGAATACTGGAGTGGGTTGCCAAGCCCTTCTCCACGGCATCTTCCCAACCCAGGGATCGAATCCAGGTCTCCCGCATTGCAGGTGGATAATTTACTGCCTGAACCACCAGGGGTAAATCCAGCTATCTGGAGATGATGGAAGACCATTTATGTCCTTAAACTTGCCAGAGAAAGGAACATGCCAACAGTTAATTCTAAGACAAGGCAGAAAAAACTAAGAGCCCAAGTAAGACATTTATAAAATGTCTTCAGGGCGTGCCCAGTGGAGAGATTGAGTCACCCACAGTGGGATGGAAGGAGGGTGTGATGGACCCTGGGTGGTGGTGGGGAGGCCTCATTGCATTTGCTCTTGCAGCTCATCCTAGGGGTAGTACACCTAGTGGTTATGAGCAAGGGGTCAGAAGCCAGATAGGTGGTTCAGCTTCCTGCTCCGTCACATCAGCTGTGGGATCTAGGACTTCTTAGTCTCTTTGAGGCTTGGTTTCATCATCTGTAAAGTGGGACTAACAATAGCAACTGTTTTGTGAGGATCCAGTGAGATAATGCAGAGCAAGCAGCTGGCATATGGTGAGCTCTGAATGAATGTCCATTTTAGTTTTCTTTCTTCCAGAGGCTATGGATGGACACCTCATAGCCTCCCTACCATTCTCCTTGCAGCTTCTCCTTCCTGCCTAAGGAACTGGGACAATATGCTGGGTACACAGAATAAATAGAAAACCTGTCAACTCTTGGCTCAAGTGACAGCAGGTAGACAATGCTGTGCACAGCTGGATGGTAGACTTGGATGTGCCATCTCCTCCCTCTGATACCTGGCCATAGACTGGGTGAGCCATAACGGCTGTTCTTCTTGCTCTCATGTCTCTGGAAGCCACTCAGAGGAGGACCCTCTGAAGCCCTCTTTCCCTGCTCGGCAGAAAGTCAAGAAATATCTTTGACTGTTCTGTGACTCTGATTTGAGCTGAGACCTGACTTGCTACATGTCCTAGGGCAAAACATGTCCCCTCTCTGGGACTCAGACTCCTCGTGGGTAAAATGGGTGAACGTTCTCAAGCTGCTTTGCAACTCTGCTTCTCCTTTGAGCTGGGAGTGCCTACTCTTCTTTCCTGGAAGCTGCCCCTTTCATCTGAGGGTGTGGTTTCTACTCCTGCACTTCTCGCCTGCCTCTTGGCTTTTCTCTGTGATATCTCCCCTTTCTCCCTTCTTCTTCCCCTTGGGCCTCCTCTGCTTCTCTATTTAAAAAAATTACTTTAATTAATTTCTGGCTGTGTTGGGTCTTCGTTGCTGCACAGGCTTTCTTTAGTTGTGGTGTGTGGGCTTCTCATTGCAATGACTTCTCTTGTGGCTCCTGAGTGCAGGCTTAGTAGCTGTGGCATACGGGCTTAGTTGCCCAGAAGCACTTGGAATCTTCCTCAACCAGGGTTTGAACCCATGTCCTCTGCATTGGCAGTTGGATTCTTAACCACTGGACCACCAGGCAAGTCTGGCTCTCTTTTCCCTTTTCTCTCTTTCTCTTCCTCTGCCATAGTCCCGAGACCTCGAGAGTGTGTGTATGAACTGATTTCTTCTTTAGGTTTCTTCCTCCCATTCCACCCAGCTTTTTGATCCCCAAACAGAATCTGGGCCCAAGGAGCCAGGCCTCTCCACCTGTCCTCCTGGCTGGGGGTCTGTCCCTCGTGACTTGGGTGGTACCCTGACTTTTGACTTCTGAGAGAGTGGGGCATTAGCATCCCAGCTGGACCAAGAGAGTGCCTAATATGGGTCTTCTGTCCCCAGAGACTGGCAGGCTCTGTCTTCCCACGCTGCTTCCCCCCAGAATCCCAGGCTTGGGGAAGGGGGGCAGGAAAGAAAGCCTTTTCTAAGTTTGCTGACGCTAAGCCCCCCACCCAGCTCTTCCACAGTGCCATCTCCCACCTCTGAGGCTAGG